CTCCCGCCCCCTATGGGGAAGGAAACCACCCCCCCCCCCAAAAAAAAACACCCTAATGGAGGTAATCCAAAACTTTATACCACTGTCGCAGTTTTGGTACTTTATCCAGAACGGTAAGTTACACTGAGCACAGCCAAAAGGGTCCCAGATGAACCCTGCTGAAACTAGTGCTAATTAGTAAAAATGTTGGAGCTTATGAAGACATAGAGTAAATCTTATGTACTTTTAAAAGCACACATATTATAATGAAATAATTTTAATGGAAATATGTAGACTGCTTTTCTGACCTCCTAAGTGAGAGTGTGAATTGTCTGGCTGTCATGCTGATACCTTGGTTTTCATTATTTTTGGGTTTGGAACAAATATTGTAGTAAGAAATTCTGATTTTTACTTGGTGCATGCTTGTTCCAGGTTAATGTCAGCAAAGTCAGCCTACATATCACTCCTATGATAAATGCACTTTAAAAAAAGGAGGAGAACTATGGGGGGTCTGTGTTTTTCCCCATAGTTCTCCTCAGGGTCACAGGAGGACATAAACTAGTGTCCTCCCGTCACCCAAAGCTGAGTTGTTCGCTCACTTCCCGATCTATTGAGCCCACGTGTGACAGTTTAATTGTCACACGTTGGCTCGAATTTCTATACATTTATGGGAAAAGTCCGATATTCCATTAAAGATATATTCAACATGTTTTTTTCAGTAAGGTCTCACTTCTATGGTAGCCTCTAAGGCTTTGCACATGAGTGCCAAGGGAGACATGCATTCCTAGTGTGCTACCATGTGTGTACTCAGCACGGAAGCTTATTATTTAGCTACAGGGTCAGTTCAGGTGAACACCTGGCAAACTGTTATTTCACTTTGAGCTTTAAAGGTTTTTTTAAAAGGTTGCAAACTGCAATGTCTGTCCCCATTCAATATCCAAATTAAAATATCCCATTGCAGAGGGCCTGATGCTAGGTTAACTTTGTAATGCCTGCCATTGCACTACAGGCATTGAATATGGAACATCAACTCTCTAATCTTGTTCTGGTGATAAATTTAACATTTTGGATTTCCCATCACTTCCTTTCATAGCCACACTGGTCATGAGGCAAAGATGGGGTGAATCTTCCTAATTGGGTTACAGACAGCAAATTACAGACAGCAAATTAAAAGGAGAACTATGAGGTGAGTGATTTTCACTCACCTCATAGTTCTAGCTGACCTGTGACAATGAGACTGTCACAGGTCGGCTCAGTAGATCGGGAGGTGAGCGAACATATACCGGCGTTCGCTCACCTCTCTCTCCTGTCACGGCTCTCTGCCGTGACAGGGGAGGGGCTGGATTCCCCCCTCCCTGCTCCGATCCGCCAGCGCTGACTGGCGGAACGGACAGTGGAGGGGGCCGGTACAGTTGGCTCTGCCTCTAGATAGGCAGAGCCAGCTGTCAGTTACGCAGCTGGGCGGATCCCGGCACAATTGTCGGAATCCGCTTCAGCGTCTCAGTATACAGCGAGCTGTATACTGAGCCTAGGGTGATGGGAGGATGCTAGTTTGTGTCCTCCCGTTACCCTAAGGAGAACTATGGAGAAAAGACTTAACCCCATAGTTCTCCTTTAAACCTCATTAAGTTATTGTTTCATATTTTTTATAAGATTTTGGATAACATTTTGGCTTTAGATACAAGGTAAATGTAGATTGTATTTTGATAGAATACACATTTCGGGTTATTTTTGGCAACAGTAGAAGCAGTCTGTATATAATAAAGTGTGGTCAGCATTGCTTCTGAACAACCACTAAGCTGCTATTCCGAGTATGATGATACACTTGCACCGAGAAAGAGGAACCTTACAGAACTATCACTGTGTAGCACTATTAGGCAGAAGTTAGCAAATATAGCTGTTCCTATACACATTAAGCAGGCAAAAGGTCTGCAGTTCAATCTGGGTACTGATCTCAAGTGCAAAAGTTGCTGTGAACCTTCAATATGACGTCCAAACAATTGTCATTGCAAGTAAAGCAGGCCATCATTAGGCTGAGAAAATAAAATAAACCTGTCTAAGAGAAACATCAGAATTGGCCAAATCAACTTGGGACATTCCTAAAAAGAAGGAACTTAGTCATAAGCTCAACACCAAAAGGCGTGGATGACCAGGAAAAAACTGGGCTGAAAGATTGTAGAATTCTTGGTGAAGAAAAACTCATAACATCTAGCCAAGACAAGAACACTCTCCAGGATGTATGCATCTCATTGTCAAAGGCTACAATAAAGAGAAGACTTTGAGAAAGTAAATACAAGGGGTGTACCACAAGGTGTAAACCACCGTTAAGACCCAAGAACAGAAGACCAGATTAAACTTTGCAAGAAAAAACATCTAAAAAAGCCTACCCAGTTCTGGAGCAGTAAAGAGTTGTACCGTGTTAGCCATATACTGTATCATGGAAAAGTAAAAATGTAGGCGATATCTTTCATGTGGCTGGCAATATACAGTGGTACCTCGGTTCATGAACAGGAAGTTCGGCCAAATTTTGCTTCCGTTTGCGGACTCCGCATCGAGTGACTAACACAACCGCAGCCATCTTCTCTGCTCTGACACTGGTCGTGGCTTCCTCTAGTCGAGATCTGATCACAGTTTGATTCGGTTCGCGACCAATTCGGTTTGCAACCAAAATCGTGGAACGCATTAAGTTTTGGAACCGAGGTACCACTGTATTTCAAGTTGTGAGCTTCCAAAAAAGCTTAGTTTCTCCAGCTCAGTGTCATGTAAGTAACTGAAAAGTCATACTTGTACATGCATATGCACATGTAAAGGGGACACAGCAGAAGACAAAATGATAGTTTAAACCTACAATAAGCAGCCACATCAATATGCAGAGACAAAGATAGAGGTCGATTGTATAGGGCTATACCATTAGCACAGGTTCAGCTAAATGTTGCATAAATGATAGGACCGTGTTCATCAATACAGATGGACAATGGCCCAAAACATACTGTGCAGTAATCCAAGAGTATTTGAAGGCAAAGAAGTGAAATATTCTTCAATGGACATGTCAATCACCTGAGCTCAACCCAAGTAAACATGCATTTCAAGACAAAACAGAAGACCAATGAGCAAACACAAACTGAAAACAGCTGCAGTGAAGGCCTAGTAAAGCGTCACTATGTAGGAAATCCAGCATTTGGTGATGTCCACGAGTTCCAGACCGTAGGCAACTATTGCCCATAAAGGAATTTCAAACAAGTATTAAAAATGCTCATTATAATTATCCTAGTTTGTCTGTTTACTTTTGAGCCCATTAAAAACAGGGGACCAAGTATACACTGAAATTCTCAAACGGCTTGTACATATTTTTGAAAACCCCTTAAAGTGAATGTCATTGTCCAAATATCTAAGCATGCTCACAGACTGTACACAGAACTAACAATGGTAAAACATTAACATGCTTTGATTATATTAATATTTATCTAATTGCACTGTAAGGTGCTGATATCTAAAAATACTTACACTGTGGATTACTTTTGATTTGTGTTCCTGTGGAATGGAGGTTAGGAGTTAAGCAAACAATGTACAGTATTACAGGTGTAAAACTATATGAAAAATACACCAGAAAGCACAGATTTTCTATCAAACAGATGTGCAAACACATTTTTTATACTGTCCTTTTAAATGTTAAGCAACCATTTCATTACATGATGTACTGTAAGTACATAGACAATACTCTTCTGTTCTCTACATAGTAACATCAGATTGCTGAAAAAATATGATTTACATGGGGAAATTCACAGTGTGAGATGGTATTGTAATCACATGCTTAACGATACCTGTAATTAAACACTGGGCTTTTAATAGTCATTGAACAGTTGGAGCATTTTACCATTGCCTATTTCAAGTTGAGGTGCTGTACTAAATAGATTTAACAGGCATTGCACATCGTTTTTAAATTTTATAATAAGCAGTTACATGAGAAACAGCAGATCTGGTTTCCCAATATTCTTATTCTAGCCTCTCCTGTCTGGGCTTTTCATTAGCCTAATAGTGCCATAAATGGAACTAATCACATGTCTGCGTTATCCTAAGTACAAGGACTTCAGTTTGGGTTAAGAGTAGACATTCAAATCAATAGGAAAAAATTGCAGAAAATTCAAAAATGGCTTGGCCAGCTGATTTGAAAAATGTTCCGGAGGGCTTGGCAGCGAAAGGGTTAATAAATGATTCTACAACTAACTACGTTTCGTAGTCATTTCATATGCTACACAAGAGAACCCGCTTACAACTTTTACTGCTAAGTACATATGGGGGAATTTAAATCTCAGCTCTGCTCTTCAGCAAGTCATGGTGGGATCCCAAACCGGCCTCTCAACCAAGGTGCGTGGCACCCTGGTCTGACTTCTGGCTTCCTCAGGGGTGCCTCAAAACTTTTACCAGCACCATGAAAGAATGATGCTAATCCGGGAAGGGTGGGATCCATTAAGAAAAAAGGGGGCTCCTAGTGTGAATAAGGCTTCTGATGTGAAGGGAGCATTGATGTGAAGGGAGCATTGATGTGAAAAGGGGCATTCTTATGTGAAAGGGAGGCTTATTTATTTGCACATTAGTGTTAAAAGTGTTTCCAACATAACTTCAGTACTTTGTGGGTGCAGATGCATACTATTGTCTGCCATTTGCAACTGTTGAGGTTAGCTGGTTTTCTCTGCAATAGCAAGCTGCATTAGTTGACCTGTCATTTAACACTTTCCTAATACACCTCCGTACAGGAATTTCTCCAGAGTCAGGAATCACTCACAGTTATCACTGGAAACAGCAGCGTCAGCTGATTTTGTGCAATTTTGGTAGCAGAACATATATGGCGGCCACTGCATCTATGGCCAGCTTAAAGTGGAACGGCATCTATGGCCAGGGTATAAAAGACAAAGCCAAGTGCACAAAAGAAAATCAATCTGATAAAATTGTCCTCTATTTTGAAAAAGACTTAAAAAGGAAAGCTTTGCATAAAAAAAGGAAAACAAATTTAACTTACCATCTCTTTCCTAAGCAAAGCCAATGCAGCATCAAGGTTAGGAGGCTTTGGTAGTGAATGAGAGGTGCCAGTGGAGCCTCCACGACTTAAGTCATCCTGAATACGGGACTTCTGAGCATAGACTCTCTCCAGATCTCGCCACCCTGAACCGCCGCTTGAATTTAGCAGACCACTGAGGCTCTTTGGTAGTGGGGGCAGGCCTTCCATAGAAGGAGTCAGTGGAGTAAGGGCTGCATGGGAAGCACTCATCACTTGCTCTATAAAGACGTCAAGACCTCAGCCAAAAGCACTCCCTAAATTATAAGAGAGGAGAAAATGCATTAGGCTTCACAAAAATTGAGGATGTTATTCTGCAGGTAAGTAATTTATATGGCAACAAACTTTACAAACGGAAACAAAAAAGAGAGAGCGGAAAAAAAGAATGGCAACACATATCCATTATCGATCTCTACGTTAAGGAAGGCATTTACAGTAAAATCATAATGCCAGGATGTAACTTTCCTGTAGACCGCTGAACGTTAAATACATATGTAATGTGATTTAATACTTGTGGTTGGCATCTGATAAATTACTTTGTCAGTTAAAGAATTGCAGAAACAATGTTTGATATCTATACAGCTTATGTGTAAGGATTCCAACAATTTGAGTATACACTAAAAATTCAGATTAAGATGCCTACAAAACATCCAATCTGCTCTCTTTCAGTTGAATCAGGAAACCACTACAAGTATGTGTCTCCGTGCACGTTTTGGAGACACCTAACAAATCTCAGAAACAGAATCATCATCCGGATTAAGATATTCCTGGCTGATCAGTAATGAGATCAGGCTGGTGCATAGGAGGTCTTCTCAGTGCATAAAAACACAATACTAAAATAAGCACGCATGTTTAAGACGTAATCCCTCTGCAGAGCTATTCAACCACCATCTCAAGTTTTGAGGTACTCCTAAAGCAGGAGGTGGAAATATTATTTTAGAATTCCAGAGCCATTCTTTCCAATCAAGGAACCAGCTCCATTGACAACTAAAGAAAACCTAAAAAGTTAGGCTCCATCTGTAATTTTTAGGGGGCATAGGCAACCTGGGCTTTGTCAAAAGGTGCCTTCAAATTTTTGCACAGTTTAATGCATTTCCATGGTGGCCACCAGCACCATGGACATGCATGTTGCTCATCCAGGGTAGCTTCATCCAGGACCTCTCCAGCATTCAGAATAGGACAGAAGTCCGTCTCCCAACTCTGCCTTCAGCCATGATCCTACAGCCACACTGTGGTGTGGATTGTAAGTTAAGATTGCTGTGAAGCTGGAACTGAGGACTCTGATGTAAAGGGGGGCTACTGATGGGTAAGGAGGCTCCTAATGGGAAAGGGGAGGACTATGATGTGAAGAGGGGACTCCACATCATTTTTTTTGTGTGGGGTCCCTTCTTAAAATCCATACCAGACCCCTATCTGGGATAAAGGTCTGGTAGAGATTTTTTTTTTGGGGGGGGGGAAGGACATGTCATTATTTCCCATTTACATAGTTTACAGTTTAGACTGGGGTGCCCTGACATTTTACATACTTTTAAAGGGTGCCTTGACTGAAAAAATGTTGGGGCAGAGGACAGCACGCGTCTTCCTTCTCTTTCATAAGCAGCTAATCACCAGGCCCGAGTGCTCTCACATGGGACAGAGGAAGGTCCTGTGTAAGAACAAAAACTGAGCACAGGGCTTTCTACTTGGGACTCTGGTAAACAAAAGGGGCAGTGAGAGAGTGCAAGGAAGGTAAGTATAAGCAGACAAGAACATGACATTAAGTGAAGCTGTCACTTTGCGATGTATTGTCAAAGTGATATGTTCACCTTTACCTGTGGTGGAAGTGGTTGAAATCAGTTGTGTTGGCACTTTAGAAAGCCCATAGTGCTTTGGGAATCCCTAGTCATGTATTACATGTTTATTTATGACTGATTGTTACAAATTTGTTATTTTAGCATTTTAGATGAAAACACTGCAACATTTCTTACTGCAACACTTAAACGGTTAGACTGATACAAATAAACGGGGACCCTCCCATTCAGAAATCAGTTTGAGGAGCAGCATGGTTAAGTTGGCCATACCCCCTAACATTTCCCACAAACATGGTGGATGGGGAAATCTCCCCTGTTAGGCTACTGTATTGGAGAACATTTTTGGCCCAACTCCTTCGACAAAAATAGACTGAAAAAAATGACTTTTTTTTGTTGTTTATAATGGAGGGTCGCCGGCAGGACCACACACAGCTTAGCAGGACTTGGCTGAAAACCAAGTAGTGTGTGGCCAGTCTAAGGAAAGCATGACAATATATGAGCCGTCACTGTTAGCCTCCTGAAGAGAATGCTAGTTGCCTGGCTGTGTTAAAGTGCGTGTACAGTCAGAAATATTGTATCTTAGTTTTGGATACAGTGGGGAAGGATTCAACTCCTTTTCAGGTTTTTACTGCTTTCTAGCACTCCGTTTGAGAGATCAAGGCCTCATTCACTTTGCTAAGAGCTGGCCTGTACAGATCCGTGCATGGGGCCGTTCCCGGGGAAGGGCAGGTGCTGCGTGCGATTGTACGCAGCAGCCTGTTCTTAATGGGAGTACGCGGCCGTACGGTCACCCGAACTGCACATCCGTGCGAGTGTCCGTGCTCGGACGCAGACAGGATCCACCCTGCCTGTGTACGAGTATGGACACCCGCACCCACACGGATGTGCAGCTCGGGTGAGCGTATGGCCGCGTACCCCCATAGAGAAGAACAGGCTGCTGTGTACAATCACACGCAGCACCTGTCCTTCCCGGGAACGTCCCGATACGGCTGCGCACGCCGCACGGATCTGTACGGGCCGGCACTTAGTAGTGCGAATGAGGCCTTATCCTTAAAACGTTGACAACGTTTTCCATCGTCGATTTTAATCGACTTAATCGAATAACTGTTGCAGCTCTACCTCATTTCCTGTCCTGCTGATCATGTTTTACCAGACAAGAAGTGAGGGGAGCGCTGCACTGCTTTTCTTTAGTAGAAGAGGGGAAGGCTAGAACCGTTGTCAGATTTTTGTTTTCTGTCTTCATCTTTGTTGCAGGTTTACTCCTCCTTCCTGTCGAGTGAAAACTTTTTTCAGCAGGACAGGAAAGAGAGTAAATCTATCTAATGGAGCCTGGTTAGCAGTAAAAAGCCAACAGAAGGGCTCATTCCTTGCCCACGCTACCCAAAAACGTTTTTGAATTGACACACTAAGGTGTAGGTAAACAATGACATTCTCCAATCTGCTCCCTTATGGTCATCTTTTATATTCGGTCTTATTTAGATCCAAGTTTAATTGTGTTTCCAGACATCTATTACTTGCCAAAATAGTAACACCCACATAGACTTCCAGATTGTTCTTTAATGAATCTGAATAAGCGATACTATAACGTCTGACTCATAACCCTTCTCAGCCCTTACAAGGACATAAGTAGAAAACAGTTTCATCACTAGAACAAAGAAGTAGGTAGCATTAATAAAGACAAGTCGTCTGACCATGGAAAAGAGCTATTGAAACGCTCAACAACCTGGAAATACCTCTATATGTATAGGAGATTGAACAGGTCTGCAACCTACGTAATCTAAACACGTTGTGATCAGTGATTTCTCAAATGAGTACCATTCAAAATCTAGACATGCAGTTACAGCAGCAGTAACTGTTCCCTTTAACACCACTGCTTATTGTGAGGAATACGAGTCATGTTACATCAACTCAAGTGCAGCATTCCTTGAATAAAGATGAACTCCATCTAATACAAAGCTGAAATACATACATGGGAGCTCTCTTAAACTGGGTATACATTAGTAGATTTTTTTTTCTTCACCTTTTGGGCAGATCTAAACAGCGTGGATGGAGGAATCTCCCGCTGCGACAGTTGTATTTTGACAGCAGGCCCTGCTTGCAACACTTTTCCATTGGTATGATCCCTTTAAAAAGTTCTGCGCCTCATTCATGAAAGCCTTGTGACACTTTCATTAAGAGTTCCAACACGTGTGACAGATTCAGGTAGTTCTTACTTAGGCCTCTTTCACAATGTGTCGCTGTAGCTGCTGCAAATACAATAACAATTCCTGCCAGTTTGTGGATAAGGAAACTGGAGGTAATCAAGACCAAATCTAAGATGGTGTCCAAACAAGCAAGGGTTGGGACATGGAGTAGTAGAGAGTAGAGCAGGGGTGGACAACTCTAGCCTTCCAGCTGTGCTTTAAAAACAAATCCTCTGGGGGTGATTTCTGTGGCTGTCAGTTTTGCAATGCCCCATGGGACTTGTAGTGCCACAGTAGCTGGAGGGCCAGCGTTGCCCACCACTGGAGTAGGGCATGTTTGTGTGTGGGGCCGCCCACCGGTCACTGGTTGCTAGGATTCCAGATGCACAACGTTCTTGGTTGCTAGAACACTATTGGCTGCACAGCAATGTTGGATGACATTGGCCGAGAGCATCCTGACAACCAATGGCGCTGTGCGTCCCGGGGGCTGAACAGACACTGGGAATAGAGTGTCCAGTATCAACCTCCATTCAGTACAACCTCAGTGCCGACCCCCCCCGACGCCCAGTGTTTATGACATGCTTTATGAATTCTAGGGACTGTGGGCGCTACTCAGTCCTGCAGGGTTGTTGATGTCTTTGGGTGAAACCACAGTGCGCAGTGGGGGCCCAAAATCAACGAAGTGAGGTTCCTTATAAGACTAGTTCAGAGGAAGATTTCTCTTGAATGGAGCGCCCATTGGTGGCAGGGGTAGTGGGAGAAGTAAGTACTTAGTCTCCTTTTGCAGATAGACCTTTCTGAGCATTGTTTCCCAAGAGTCACTAGCTTACCTCACAGTTTTGTCAGCGAGGCGTCGGCAGCGAGGGAGTAACACATACCAAGCAGGCAAGGGCGCTCCCTGCGAATTCTAGTGATCATTTTGCTGGCGACTTTGACAGCGACAGGATTGCAAGTTGCTCAAGTAGCAGCAACAGGCTGTCAAGGTCATCTCTCTGCTCTCTCCTCCAGTTAGCACATCCGAAAATCTGACCCCTTTCCCAGGTTTAGTATTGTCGTACAGGGAATTATAAAAGGGACTGAAATCAAACTCAAGTATTTATACGAGTTGTATTTAGAACACATTTAATTGTTTTTAATACATACCCTGGCAAAAGAACCTGACTTTATGGACATTGTATAAAATGAATACATCTGTGACATCTAATTATCTCAGCTTTTAGCTTTCCGACACGCTGCGCATTATTAGAAAAGTGACTACCTATTGGATTGCTCTTTTCCTATGTTTATGTGATAGGAAGAGTCATCGGCATTCATATTCAATGGCATCCCTGAGGCGGTGAGGGGCAGGATGCTGGCTGGCATCTCGCCTAGCTCTTGGTAACCAGTGATGTCACTGTTTGCCAGGAGATGGGAGGGACACCGGCCAGAGTGTCCCAGGTTGCTAAGAGCTGAGCGGGGAGATGTGTATGGCCCTTGCACATCTCCCTACCTGGTTCTAAGCAACCTGGGACACTCTGCTGGAGAGGGCCGGAAAGGACGGTGGCACTGTGCAGAAGAGCGGCCACTATACAACAAACATAACGCTCTGCCTGCTGCCCCCCCCCATGTGACCCAAAGAGATGTCATGGCTGCCTCATTAAAAGGGACGGCCCTGTTCATATTTATGATTTCACGCACCTTAGTGCACCCTATCAGATCCCCGTCTTAAATTTGTTGAAGGGCTACACTGGTGGATTTGGTAGGACCATGAGGTGGAACCACAGCAGGGGATGCACCTGGAAGTGTTGGATGCTACAGATTTTGTAGCGCCAGGAGGTGGAACCACAGCAGGGGATGCACCTGGAAGTGTTGGATGCTACAGATTTTGTAGCGCCAGGAGGTGGAACCACAGCAGGGGATGCACCTGGAAGTGTTGGATGCTACAGATTTTGTAGCGCCAGGAGGTGGAACCACAGCAGGCAATGCACCTGGAAGTGTTGGATGCTACAGATTTTGTAGCGCCAGGAGGTGGAACCACAGCAGGGGATGCACCTGGAAGTGTTGGATGCTACAGATTTTGTAGCGCCAGGAGGTGGAACCACAGCAGGGGATGCACCTGGAAGTGTTGGATGCTACAGATTTTGTAGCGCCAGGAGGTGGACTGTCTACTCAGTTTGTATCCAATCAGGCAGACTTATGATATTGTGACATTGGTTGTCTGCTCTGATCAGCAGGGGATCTGTATCGGAGTAGTAGAGGTCGGATGTCACTTGCAGTGGTAGAAAAGAACCTGAAGTGGACAGAGCCATTACACACGGGCTTTCCGATAAGGTCCGCCTGTCAGTTTTCCAGGCGGACCAGACTGGAAGGCCACTGTTAGTCTATGGCCAGCTGGATCTAAACGGATGGGCGTCCATGTACAACCGGTTACCCCGACTCCGGCAGGTCCAGAAAAACAAATGGATGAAAGTTCCCTTTCGCAGGATCGTGCCGGATTGGAGGTACTCCGATGTATATGGACACATGTCTGTTTACATCCGAGTCCCCATTTCAGTTTCTTTCTCCATCGCAAGATAGAGGGGAAAACAAATGGATGGACGCTGATGTCACAAGGGTTACATTCGTTCTGATAAGCAGGGGGTCCATGCATGGATCCACTCCTGATTGGACCGTGTGGGAGGGGCCTAAGGTCTATGGGCAGTTTACAACCAATCAGTCATGTTTACGTTTTGAAAAAACAAAAAAGCACACAAACGCTCTCCGTCTTTTTTTTTCCAGAACTGAAGTGACTGTAAAAGGAAAACGTTTACACCCGGCTGCCCATAGAGTTACATTCCAATATGATCCACCTGAGAAACTGACAGACAGATCATATCGGACGCCGTGTGAAGGGGCATCAGTGTTAAGCAGCCATATGCCTTTACACTTCTTTTATTCAACCTGACAAATCCATCGATTCCCCCATCCAGCTAAAGGGCAGGGTGGGGGAATCGCCCCTGCCAGCTATTGTATTCTGACAGATGACCTTCCCCGCTGTCAGAATACCGGAACATTGACTGCATCTGATTGGCTGAAGTTACTGGTTAGTTGACAATTTTCCACCTGGCTCCTCTGACAAAGGTTTACCGTTGCGGGTGGTGCAAACAGGGCCACCCGCAGCTTGAATTTTGTCCAATCCAGCAAGAAATCAGCCAAAATCCCAGCAGTGTACAGTCAGCTTTAAAACCTCTGCCAGGCTTTTATTGCTGTATGCCTCTAGAGTGAATCTTCCAATATCTACTGACCCCAGCCACCAGGAGTGAAAATCCAAAACGGTAAGTTGTCACCAGAACAGGCAGAAAGGGGAATTGCTACGATGGGGACACTAGTTCAGATGACAACTGACTAAGATGGGGGTCCCCTCACTGCCTGCCTACAGAACAGGAAGTGCAGGGAAATCTCCTCCATGGTACACAGATGGTGATTTCTTTTTAAGTTAGAAATTGCCTAGACCATAGCGTACAGCGACTTTTCCTGTTGTCGACCCGTAAACATCAGGAAAGGGGAAAGTTATATTTCTGGAGGGTCCAGACCTTCTCAATTGCTTTGTGAATTCCTCCAAGTCAGGCGGTATGGATGTCTCCTGACACCCAGGCGAAGGATCAGCCTGAAGACTAAACATGTGCTGTCTTTATGTGTACTGGAACCGGCGTTTACCCAAACACATTGTGACACGTCAAGAGCCGGATTAGGCAAATAATCATCATCCTGATCACTTGAACAAAGTGGGTTTTCAATGACCCGGAGCCCACATACATATCAATCACATGATCCCAGGGACACGGCTGCCTGTCTAGCATTGGGGGATAGATACACCCTACACAAAAGACAAGCATGCTGCCATTGTGTGATGTACACTTACAGCTCCTCCTGGACAGGCAGATTGGCTTTGTCTGAGATCCTCTTACAGGGATTGCTGTCCTCTATCTGATCTTTCTTCCTCTTTTTCCTCCTTCTTCCATCCAGATCTTCAGCTTTCCTCCTCCTCCGCCGTCCTCACCTCATTCCCTTCTTCCCCTTGTACTTGTAATAACAGCTTGCTGTGCTGTGTTGTCGTTGCTCACTCCTCCCGTTTGGGATGTGTGTGGGGATCAGTGCAGAGAGCTGCTGATGTGTGTGTGGAATGGGGGAGGGAGTGTGCTGGACGCCTGTGGGTGGGGGAGGGGGAGGAGGAGGGGGAGGAGGGTTCTCTCCAAAACCCAGCAGCACACCATTCTACACTACAGGATGTGTTACAGGGGATCAAGTCCTGTGCCTGACAGGCGACTCCTGTCACAAAAACAGTGCAGGGGCTACCAATGTTTACATTCTGCACATAGTTCATATCACACACAACACGGCTCAATGCACTAAAGTTATCGCATGTGATAATGGGGTCCCATGGCTGCTGAATATTGCATGTAATAATATGATCCCATGATTATTAAATATTGAATGTGATAATATGGTCCCAAGACCGCGAAATATTGCATGTGTTAATATGGTCCCCTGACCACGAAATATTGCATGTGATAATATGGTCCCATGACTGTGAAATATTGCATGTGTTAATATGGTCCCCTGACCACGAAATATTGCACGTGATAATATGGTCCCATGACCATGAAATATTGCATGTGATAATATGGTCCCATGGCTGCTTAATATTGCATGTAATAATATGGTCCCATGATTATTAAATATTGCATGTGATAATATGGTCCCATGACCGCAAAATATTGCATGTAATAATATGGCCCCATGATTATTAAATATTGCATGTGATAATATGGCCCATTGGCCGTTAAATATTGCATGTGGTAATATGGTCCCATGACTGCTAAATATTGCATGTGATAATATGGTCCCCTGACCTCTATATATTGCATGTGATAGTATGGTCCCATGACTGTGAAATATTGCATGTGTTAATATGGTCCCCTGACCACGAAATATTGCATGTGATAATATGGTCCCATGACTGTGAAATATTGCATGTGTTAATATGGTCCCCTGACCACGAAATATTGCACGTGATAATATGGTCCCGTGACCGCAAAATATTGCATGTGATAATATGGTCCCATGACCATGAAATATTGTATGTGATAATATGGTCCCATGACCACGAAATATTGCATGTGATAATATGGTCCCATGATCACGAAATATTGCATGTGATAATATGGTCCCATGATCACGAAATATTGCATGTGATAATATGGTCCCATGACCACAAAATATTGCATGTGATAATATGGTCCTATGACTACGAAATATTGCATGTGATAGTATGGTCCCATGACTGCAAAATATTGCATGTGATAATATGGTCCCATGACTGTAAAATATTGCATGTGATAGTATGGTCCCATGACCGTTAAATATTGCATGTGATAAGGAAATGGTCAATTCATTTAAAGACATATAGTGCAAACATTGCAGGGCATAATAACACACCGCGGTAAAAAACCCCAGAGCGTTTACAGGCATTTTTTGTTTCTATGTCTCTGAACGCAGCTCTGTTTTAGCTAATGTGTCCATGCACATGGGGGGGATTTAACAAGACTAGAGCAGAAAAAATCTGGAGCAGTTACCCATGGCAACCAATCAGCTTCTCTCTTCAGTGTGTTCAGTTAAGCTTTGAAAATGAAAGAGAGAAGCTGATTGGTTGCCATGGCCAGCTGCTCCAGATTTTCTCTGCTCCAGTTTTGATGAATTTCCCTCATTGTGATGTATAGATACCTATTTTGGAGCTGAGTTCAGGGGCATAAAAATGAACGTTTTCGGAGAGGAGCTATCTTTAGCCGTAAACCCAGGGCCGTCGCCATAATGAGGCAGCCTAAAGCAGTTGCCTCAGGCAGTATCTCGATGTGTCGTGTGGGCCTTTCCGGCCAGAGTGTCTCAGGTTGGTAAGAGCTCTTAGCAACCTGTAATGGTTTTGCCAGTGTCGCGCCCAGCTCATTGATGTCACTGGTTGCCAGGAGTTGAGTTGAATGGCCTGGTAGGTGCCCTGCCCAGCTCCTGGCAGACAAAGACATCAGTGAGCTGGGCGGAACACTGGAGAGTGGTACCGAACACCCTCATCCCCAAACAACTAAGCCCCTATAACGTGCGCAGATACCTAACATTCCCCCCACGGTAACGAGGGCCTCCAGCACCATCCCCCGCCCTACCCCTGGCCTCAGGCAGCAAAAAGTGTAGGGACGCCCCTGCGTAAACGCATGAAAACGTGTGTGTATGCATGTAAATTAATTAATGCGCCTAAAATAAACTAGTATTCTAGCCCAGAGGTATGCAACCTCAGCACTCCTGCTGTGGTAAAAATTAGGGATGCCCTGAAATGAAATATTTACATCAAAACCTGGGGGTCAACAGCTGGATTGGCTCTGTGTCCCCTCCGATCCCTGTTGCCTCTGCCGACACAGGCAGGGAGAGCAGCGGGGATTAAAGGGGACACAGACCGAAGCTTGCAGCTGTCGCCTATCGGGGAAGAGAGAAGCTGAGGATGCACCGCATTTTCAGTCATATTTGTACTATTGCCATTGTGCCCATAGTACCATTTTCCAAGTAGAAATACAAATCCCATCATGCCTCTGTCTCTGGTAGTCATACAAGCAGCTGTCAGAGTCTTGCAATGCCTCATGGGACTTGTAGTTCCACAACAGCCAGAAATGCTAAGATTCCCTACCCCTGCTCTAGACAATTGAATTAGTTTACACAAATAGGCCTCTATTTAAAATCCAGAGTAAACAGGAACATTTCATGACACCAATGTGCATGAGCCCTAAAAAATGAGCCAATTATCCAATGAAAAATGTGATGTAACACTGAAGTCAATTGACAAAACAAAACAAATAAGCAATAATTAGCACATAGCTGTGGCAGTCGGTATTCTCAGCCTGTCAGCATGTGGCAGTGTGTAGTGTTCATAACCACCAATTTGAGGCAATGGAAGTATTCAAGAACACATTGCTGAAACATAATGTCATCCAAAGGAGGATATGGAGAAGGAGAATGAATGTGGTGGGACCAAACAAAAAAAATGTTTTTTAGCAATGTTATCAGTGCATAATGTGCCTTTTCCCCCAAAAATAAGAACAAGAAATATAAGATAAATACTGGGGATGCACCGATACCATTTTTTCCAGAGTACGAGTAACGATACTTTTCCTCAAGTACTTTTTTTTAGTGTCATGTGACAGTTTTTCTAAAACGATACAGACTAATGTAAAATGGCATCCATTAGATGCCCATTTTCATGGGAATGTGGGGACTTTTAGTTTTTTGGTGTTTTTCGCGTGTTTAATTTGGCGGGAAAACATCGCCACGAGGATATATGTCAGTTTGAATGATGCCCTATATAAAGAGGTGCTGCTAGGATTGAAGCATCCAGTTGGAATCCCGTTTTAGAAGCTTCCCTCCCCCCCTCCCTAGTCGCGGTATTTTTATGTGGTTTGTCACCTCAGGGGAGGGGAACTATTCCCTTGATTGATATATTGCTCGAGTTTCGAAAACTGGGCAATATGGTGAAAGTTTAATAGTTATTGGTTGATTATTAGATTGGTTATTAGAGTTTGATTTAATATTAATCCAATAAAAATGCTGCGGCCAATTAATGCCAATTTAAATAAGAGTGTTGAGTGATTTATTTATTTAGAGTTTAAGTTAATGTAAGCATATGTCACCTACAGTTCCATGATCCTAGGACAGTGGTTGAGCGCCAGGGCCCGGTCCCAGCTGCAAACACTGCCCCCTTGTAGTTCGGCCACTGACTCCAAGCTGTAGGGGGACTACAAATCTCATCAATACATTATACAACAATGCAGAATACCACCAGCTATAGAGGACTACAAATCTGAGTGACACATTACACAGCAATGCAGAATACCACTGGCTATAGAGGACTACAAATCCCAGCGATACATTATACAGCATTGCTGAATGGCAACCAGCTATAGAGGACTACAAATCTCAGCAAAGCATTAAACATCAGTGCAGAATAATATGAAGCTACATACTCTGTTCTGCTCCAGGGTGTTGGCCTGGTGTCTCCAGTGGAGGATCTCAGGTGGCTGTGTGGGGTCTTAGAGGGCTGTGCAGGATCTCAGGTGGGCTGTGCAGGGTCTATGGTGGGCTGTGCCGGCTCTCAAGTGGGTTGTGCAGGTTCTATGGTGGGCTGTGTGGGGTCTATGGTAAGCTGTGTGGACTCTTAGGTGGGTTGTGCAAGCTCTATAGTGGGTTGTGCAGACTCTCAGGTGGGCTATGTGGGGTCTATGGTGGGCTGTACGGACTCTCAGGTGGGCTATGCAGGGACTATGGTGGGCTGTGCGTGCTCTCAGGTTGCTGTGGAGGTTCTATGGTGAGCTGTGTGGAGTCTCGAGTGGGCTATGCGGGGTCTATGGTGGGCTGTGTGGGCTCTCTGTTGGCTATGCAGGGTCTATGGTGGGCTGTGCAGACTCTCAGGTGGCAATGCCGGGTCTTTGGTAGGCTGTGTGGACTCTATGGTGGGCTGTCAAGCTCTATGCTTGGCTGTGTGAGCTCTATAGTGGGCTGTGCAGGCTCTATGATGAAGTGAGAGCAATAATTCTAGGGCCATCAATCACTGTTAACACTAAACTGATGTGGGCAGTAAAAGCTTTTAAAGCATCGCCTATGGGAAATTATGGGTATTGTAGTTTGTTGCAGTTTCACTGGTGAATGCAATTTTAAGGCTTGACATGTTTGGTATCTATTTACCCGACGTGACCCCAACTTTTATATTTGACCAAAAAATTGGGTATTAAATTCTGTTTCTGTGCACTAAATTTCATTTAAGTGCATTTTATCCTAAAAATACTGCTTCGATAAACATTTGCGCAAATACCTTGTGACATAAAAAAATTGCAACTATCATTTTTTTATTCTACAGGGCCTCTGCTTTCACAAAATGTATCATTGTTTGGGGGTTTTAAGCTGTTTTCTAGCCAAAAGTGCAGATTTTATTATGTGTGTGCAAATATTTAGAAATTGCTCCGGACAGCAAGTGGTTAAACCTTTTTAATGACTCTGTGTTGGTCTGGAGCTCTTCTGTTTTCTGTCCCTGAGTTTCTCCCAGTACCTCCGAGTGAAGATGCC